TTGGAATTCACTGTCACTGACATTTTCATCGCTGTTAGAGCTATCACTTGGGAACAAAAGACCTCCAATCCGCCGAGGAGTGAGGAACTTCTTACCGAGAGGCATGGTGAAAATGGACTGACAACATGGCGTTCCCACAATGCACCGCTGGGTCCCAGATTTTTTTCACAGGGTGCACACCGACCACTGAGACCCATTCTCTCTCGTGTAGGCCTACCAGGCCTTTGGCGCTTGATTTGAAGCCGCTAGAATTTGTGAGTATAAATACATCAGAAACATTGGCTCGTAAGACGTATTTATACGTCGGAAACAGTCAAAGGGTTAAAGCTTTAACAAAGTTCATCTCTTGCTTTGGCATTCCTAAATCTATTCAGTGATCAAGGTACTAACTGCACTGCAAAAGCATTTAGGGAAGCATTGACTAGGCCAGGGATAATTCACAATTTATTCACTGCCTATCATCCTCAGTCCCAAGGTGCCTTGGAAAGATTCCTTCAGACGTTAAAAAACATGATGAGAACTTTTTGTACGCATTTTACTGCTGTTTTCAATAAGGGAAACTGTGCAGGAATCTACTGGGAATAGTCAGTTTGAGCTGATCTTTGGGCACAATGTATGAGGTCCTCTTCACGTGCTCAAGGAAGGATGGATGGGAGATGTTTGTTCAACACTCTACAACCCTTCTTCAAGGTTGCAGATGGCATGTCAGTTAGCCAAGGCTAACTTAAAGGCAGCTCAAAACAAGATGAAACAGAGGTATGACAGAAACTCACAGTTTTGCTCCTTCCATCCAGGAGACAAGGTGTTGGTACAGGAACTTATACCTGGCCACACCTTAAAAGCTAGATTTACAGGACCTATGTAAATGTTAAGTAAATTATCTGATGTAAATTATGTGGTGTCTCCCCTTGACAAGACTTCAAAAACTAAAACTTACCACATTAATCAAATTGAATCCCAGTAATGACTTTGTCCTCTGCCTCTGAAGATGATCCTTACTCTTTGCACTCTATTTCTGAAATTAATGCCAAGCTTCAAAATTCTGTCCAAGTCAAGGACTCTAGCCCTTTAATGGTAGGGCTATCTAAGATTCAAGTCACAAGCTTAACTGCACTTCTACAATCTTACCCTGATAGCTTTTCGAATGTTCTGAAAAAAATGTACATTGGGATATCATGACGTAGATGTGGGAAACTCTAAACCTATTAAGCTCTCCCCCTATTACCTGGAGAGAGTTCTGGGGGTCAACGTCCCCACGGCCCGGTCTGTGACCAGGCCTCCTGGTGGATCAGAACCTGATCTGCCAGGCTGTTACTGCTGGCTACACACAAACCAACGTACGAGCCACAGCCCAGCTGGTCAGGTACCGACTTTAGGTGCTTGTCCAGTGCCAGTTTGAAGACTGCCAGGGGTCTGTTGGTAATCCCCCTTATGTATGCTGGGAGGCAGTTGAACAGTCTCGGGCCCCTGACACTTATTGTATGGTCTCTTAACGTGCTAGTGACACCCCTGCTTTTCATTGGGGGGGGTGTTGCATCGTCTGCCAAGTCTTTTGCTTTCATAGTGAGTGATTTTCGTGTGCAAGTTCGGTACTAGTCCCTCTTATGATTTTCCAGGTGTATATAATCATGTATCTCTCCCGCCTGCATTCCAGGGAATACAGGTTCAGGAACCTCAAGTGCTCCCAGTAATTGAGGTGTTTTATCTCCGTTATGCGCGCCGTGAAGGTTCTCTGTACATTTTCTAGGTCAGCAATTTCACCTGCCTTGAAAGGTGCTGTTAGTGTGCAGCAATATTCCAGCCTAGACAGAACAAGCAACCTGAAGAGTGTCATCATGGGCTTGACATCTGTGGAAAATACTGTTTTTTTTTTCCGGAAATACGGTAATTTATAGGTAGATACCCTATATTGTATTTTTAAAAGAAGTATGTTATCGAAAATGGGAAACCTGCGGCTGGGGAGGAGAGTTGCCGTTTTTGTTTGAATTGAGAGTAACAGACATTAGTAATGGGAAGAATTTTTCGTGCTCTAGAGGTTAAATTTGGGCTGACACCTCTCAAATAGGAGGCAAAATTGTTGGATGTGCATTCCTGCATAATTTGAGTATCAGGCGACAGGACAGGACAACTCCAGGAACCTCAGATAAGCTGTCTAATTTATGGAAATAAATGGTATAAAATACCGACACAATGGAAATATAAACACAAATGCAGTATAATGTGATCCTTTATTGACTATGTTTCGCCCACACAGTGGGCTTTTTCAAGTCACACACAGAACTACCTGGGGTGGAAGGAACGCGAGTATTTATAATCCGGTTCAGAATGCTGAGATCAGGTGAAGAATGCTGCATCTGATGATGTACCGAGTGAGGTTATAGAGTCTAAAAACTTGGGTAGCTTGGAAAGGAGATTGGATAAGTTTGTGAGCAGACCTTCTACAGTGTTCTTATGTGGGAAAAGCGATGAAGAAGTTCTTGGCAAGTGGTTCAGCTCCTTTTCATGTTATTCCTTTAGCACGCATTTTGTGCCTTATTACGCCATGGTCACACATGTCGAAGACTTTTGCAAAGTCTATATATATTACATCTGCATTCTTTTCGTCTTCTAGTGCATCTAGGACCTTGTCGTAGTGATCCAATAGTTGAGACAGACAGTAGTGACCTGTTCTAAACCCATGTTGCCCTGGGTTGTGTAATATAGAGCTAATCCTGAAAAACAGAGGCTACTTTAGCAGGAGGTAGAATTTCTGTTAGAGCATGGGTTGGGAGGGGAGTCGTGTAGTCCGTGGGCTTCACTGTGCATCCTTGTTAAAAAAGCTGATGGAGGTTTTCGAATATGTACAGACTATCGTAAGGTGAACGAGGTCACAATTGCAGATGCTTACCCTCTGCCACGTCTGGATGATGTAATTGACTTTGTGGGTAAGGCTACTTTTGTGTCCAAGTTAGACCTCTTTAAAGGTTATTATCAGGTACCTTTGACAGATAAGGTGAAGGAAATCTCTGCCATCGTAATTCCAGATCATTATCAATATACAGTTACCCCCCTCGGAATGAAAAACTCTCCCTCTTCATTCCAGAAACTTATTCATCAGGACTTGAAGGCAAGGCAGCTTACCTAGACGACATTATTATTGTGTCTGATACTTAGGATCAACACGTTTAGACTTACAGCTCTCTTTGAGACCTTCCAAAGTTTCCACTTAACTGTTAAATTTGTCTAAGTCTTCCTTTGGCCAGGCTACTGTGACTTTTTGGGGCCATGAAGTAGAAAGTGGCAAAGTTGCCCCTAAATCTGCTACAGCTCTTGCCATTAAAAATTATCCAGTACCTCATGATAGGAAATCCCTTCAATGTTTCCTAGGTATGGTAGGATCTTATAGATGATTCTGTTAAATTTCTCAGATAATGTAGCCCCTCTCACCTCACTTACCAGTCACAAAGTTCCCCTTAATTGGACCCCAGAATGTCAAAATGCTTTTACAAAAGAAAAACATTACTTTGCACTACACCCATTTTTCTGTCTCCAGACTTTTCCAAACCTTTTTCATTACAGGTTGAAGCTTGTGAGTCTGGGGTTGGGACAGTACTTTTGAGAGCCGAGGACTGTGGGTCGCAGCCTGTGGCATTCTTCTCGGCCAAGTACCTGCAGCACCAGAGGGCCTACTCTACAACTGAAAAAAAAAGCCCTCGCTCTGGTGCTAGCTGTGGAGCACTTTGATGTTTAAGTGGGCCAAACTTTGCAGGAAGTCAGTTTATAGTGACCACAACCCTCTGGTGCATCTCCAATCAATAAAGAACCACAATATGAGGCTCAAGAGATGGAGTCTCAAGCTGCAACCCTACCCTCTTTAAAATTATTCACATAGCCAGCAAAGAAAATACGCTGGCCAACACATTGTCGTGTTCATCTCACACTATGCAAAAACTCAATGCACATAAAAGGCCCTAAAATCTGGAATTCATTACCTGTAAATATAAAAGAAACACTACCTGTTTATAAATTCAAGTCTCTACTCAAAGATCACTTACTCACCCAAAACCAAATAAATACTGAATAACTGAACCTTATAAATTGTATATCTTAAATGTTTCTCACAATTATATCACATAAATGTTAAACCTAAAACCCAATCTAACTTTATTATTTTTTAAATACACTACCTAACAGAATCCTTCATATGACCTGTCTTTGTAATACTCACTTGTGCTTTATAGTAATCTGTTTACATTAATGTTTTATCACTGACTTCATCATTGCTTAGTTAATCTTAAGTTAATTTTAAGCCAGCCCGTAATGCTATGCATAGTATAAGTGGCTTTGGCATACTGCTCTTATCTGTATTTTTTTGTACCTCTGTATGTGTGCACAAATTTATTATAATAAATAAATAAATAAATAAAAAGGATGTGTTAGGAACCTTATGTAGAAAAAAGAGGCTCTCCCCCCCATTTTTTTTTGTATATACTATGTAATTTATTGGTGGTTTTTTTTTAGTTAGGGGATATTCTGCTACCGTCCGCAGGTATCTTGGACCTACAACAGCCATAGTGTTTGCTGTCTTGCTCTAAGTTTAGGGTTTGGCTTTATGTCATGAATAAGGCTGACTTCTAAGAGTTGGATGGTTGAGAGGAAAGGCAGTCTCATTATATAGTGCTCTGGCGGCACTTTCTACCTATTGGAGGTGGAAACCTATTCCTAAGCCCTCTTGGGGTGGGGGGTGTGGCATGCAGAAAGTATGTAAAATTTATTCGGCGCATGTACACACCCTCCTTAAAAGGCTACCTCCCCAACCAGCAAACTGGGTGCTAAGGGTCTGACAATGGGGCCCCATCATCTGATCAGTATCTAGGTTCAGCCAATGAGAAGGTGTGTCTGGCAATTGTGGAGGTGACGTGGTCACCACTCACTTTTCCACCCTCGTCATTTCCATTCTAGAGCTGGTTGAAGCACAGTCTGCTCTCCAGTAGCATTAATTCTGCTTGCTTGCATACCTATTGCTATACATAGTGAATATAGTGTACATACTGCTGTTTACACTTGAAGGATAATATAAGTCAGTCATTCAGTTGTGTATATTTTGCTCCCTTTACACCCAGGATAACAAGCCTTTTTTGTTCCTGGGTTGTAATACCTTACTTTGTGGAATATGTCATTATCCTTTTGGGTTTTATCATTGAAATGAATTGTACGCCTAAGCAACCTAAACCTCTTAAATGACATGACTTCTGTGATGTGGGGTACCTTAGCTGCACCTGCCCAATAGTCATCTAGAGATGGGTATGGACAAATACCCATAAACAACAGAATACCGATGAACTTGAACTTTATTTCTTCAGAATCAGTTACAAAGTAGTATTAATGTTTTTTTGTTTGGCATACAAATTTGTTTGATATGTGATGTTGTCTATCATATTTTGAGTAAAAAACTTGCTAAAACAATCAAATGGACAGCTAATTTCAAGAGGCTTTTCATGTTGGTATACAGTCAAAGGGTCATTTTGGATGTCTTTCTGGTTCCAATGTATCTGAGCTTGAAGAGCAAGCTCATCATGAAGATCTTCATCAGGGTACTCCTCGATTGTAATACCTTTCTTTTTCTGGGCTAATTTAGGCTTTTTGGAAGGTCTGTCTTCCTCCTCATCATCACTTGACACCCCTGAATCCAGTGGCAAGTATTCATCACCATGGTCAACCAATTCCAGATCATCTGGCTCTTGATCTGAGTCACTTTCCTCCATAAATGCAGACATATTTGGACTTCTCTTTGGAGGGCTCACCATAAAACAATTGCTCATTGATCTGGAAGGACAATTAAAACATTCTGTACACACCCAAACCACTACCAAATTCATATACGCATTAGAAAAATGATTATAAATATTTATTTACTGAAACTGCTAATTTGAACTTGCCGGCAGAGCCGTATATTTTCAGACCTTTTTCCTTATACTTTTTTCAACTGCATGGTGCAATCATATTATGCTTCACGCACAATTTACTTATATATCCAAATATGCCTAAACTATTCATTTACTCACTAGACACAGGAATCAGTACTTACCAACACTGCAGAGGGTAAACTCTCAGTATACTCAGAGTATATGAGTATAACTGGAGGAAAAAACTGCTGTTGACGACGCCAAGCTAGAAGTGCTTACATTTTGGTCTCTCAACCAATGGGAAGCAAGCAGACACCATCATCCCTTAGCTGGAGCGACTCACAGAAGGTTGTGATTGGTCCAATCTAGAAAACGGGAACCCAGATGTGCAGGAGGAGTACAATACAGTTATCCTATATTATATGAGACTTCACAATAGCACTTTGAGATTACATCTGGATGAATACAAATCAGCCAAGTAAAAACTGAGCACTTTAATAACAAAAAGTTGTCTATGTGGAATAATATATACAATATATAATTACATATTTATTTGGTGTTAATGATGAGGAAGCACTAAACTCACAGGGTCATACACTGCCGGGGAAATAGGAGGCAATCATATCTAATCCCAGAAAAGGGATGATAATGTCAGTTTCTTGGATCAAAGGCCCCTTACAGGCATCAAGGATCCTTGTGAGAAAATCATTGTGAGAAAACATTTAGAAATTGAAGAGTGATATGACTTCTAACAAGTATGAAGTCTCAGGTATTTCACTAAATTATAATTACATGATAACTCCTTCAGACATTCTGAACACCTAAAAGCTTCTCTTTTGAATGAATTCTCATGTGTAGTACTAAATAAGATTTTCTGGCAAATTCTTTTAGACACTCTAAACATTGATATGGTTTCTCTCCAGTATGAATTCTCATATGATTTACTAAAGTAGATTTTATGGTAAACTTTTTTAGACACTCTGAACATTGATATGGTTTCTCTCCAGTATGAATTCTTGTGTGTTCTGCTAAACGAAATTTATCTGAAAATTCTTTAAGACACTCTGAGCACTGATATGGTTTCTCTCCAGTATGAATTCTTACATGTCTTACTAAACCCGAGTTATCTGAAAATTCTTTAAGACACTCTGAGCACTGATATGGTTTCTCTCCAGTATGAATTCTCACATGTTGTACTAAATGAGGTTTTATGGAAAACTTTTTTAGACACTCTGAGCATTGATATGGTTTCTCTCCAGTATGAATTTTCATGTGTCTTACTAAACTAGATTTATCTGTAAATTTTTTTACACACTCTGAACACTGATATGGTTTCTTTTCAATATGAATTCTCATGTGTTGTACTAAATAAGATTTTACGGAAAACTCTTTTAGACACTCTGAACACTGATATGGTTTCTCATTGGTATGAATTCTCATGTGTTGTACTAAGTAAGATTTTATGGAAAACTCTTTTAGACACTCTGAGCATTGATATCTCTCTCCAATATGAATTTTCTTGTGTCTTACTAAGCTAGATTTATCTGACAATTCTTTGAGACACTCTGAACATTGATATGGTTTCACTTCAGTGTGAATTTTCATGTGTTTTATCAACTGAGATTCATGTAAAAAGATTTTTAGACACACACAACACTGTTGTTTCTCTCTGCTATGAATACTTATATGTCTCATTAAATATTTCTTTTTAGAAAACTCTTTAAAACACACTGAGCACTGAACTGTTTTCTTGTCTTTATTAACTGCTATCAGTGATACACACTGAGATTTTTGTGCAACTATGTTTGTGGCTTGAACACATTTTTGTTCAAGTATTTTAGACATAGTGAACAATGACTTAACCTTTTCTATGTCAGAACCACAAAATTAAAAATACTGAAAGTGCTGAGATTTAAAAAAAATGCTTCTAATAAAGAATATTTTTCTTAAGATAATAACACCAACAACATGAAATTTGATAAACAACGTATGGAATTATGTAGATGCAAAGCCGGCAGTCTGATTGCAATTTATGAATCAGTGAATTTTTCCCACTTTAAGTCCTATTTCAAGCCAATTCCATTGCTCATTCTGAAGGAATTCTTAGCTATTTCACACTATTTAAATTACACAGAAGTTGGTAACTTAACTAATTTTACTTGAAATTAAACAAATTCTAATTTGAAAACATATTAAAACAAGAATAAAAAATAAACAGTATATTCAGTGCAGCAACTAATAACCTATCCCTTGTTCATCAATCATGTCCTCCAGCCTCTGGTATCTTACACTTGTCCTCCATTTTGAAACCATCATCAAAAAAAATATCAAAGTATTATCCTATTTCATATATATTAAAATATAACTGGAATGAGTGTCAAGGTTTAGGGCACCCAATAATTAAAGCAGACCTAGTAAAAAAAACAGATTGGGAAAAAGGGGACCTACCCTTCCTCAGAAAAATTATCAAAACTTAAATATTTCTATTACTTTGAGCCCTATTTCAAGCTACTTCCAGCCCTATTTCAAAACTATAACTTTTATTGTATCAACTGGTACCAAGAAACAGCCAATAAACCCATAAAAACCCATCCTATAATACAATACCTGAATGTCACTATTTTAAACCAAACACAAAGTCAGAGGTTTCCAATCAAGCACTGCATAACAGAACGTTTTTATACAGTGCACATTATTGTGCAGACCCATTTTCTCAGGTTTAAGCCAAAATTTATTACTCACAACATATTTGAAGGTGCTGTTCTTAAAACGTAAATCTACATGAGTGACACTTGCATCAATAATGTAGATCTACAAGACACTGGGGTCAATAAGAAAGATCTACAAGACACTGGGGTCAATAACAAAGATCTACAAAACATCGGGGTCAATAAGAAAGATTTACAAGACACTGGGGTCAATAACAAAGATCTACAAGACACTGGGGACAAAAACAAAATCTACAAGGCACTGGGGCCAATAACAAAGATCTACAAGACATGGGGTCAATAACAAAGATCTACAACACACCAGGGTCAATAAGAAAGATCTACAAGACACTGGGGACAAAAACAAAATCTACAAGGCACAGGGGTCAATAACAAAGATCTACAAGGCACTGGGGTCAATAACAAAGATCTACTTTTCGTGAATTTAAATGTTTCTTGCTAAAGTCTTCACAAAAGTTTTGTAACAACAAATATTATGAAAAAAATTCTTATTACAATCAATGATAATGTTGTGCATAACACAATGATGAGTGTTAACTGTAGGATGCTAATGTGATGTTTAACAGCAGGATGTTAAGGTGATGTTTAACAGCAGGATGTTAAGGTGATGTTTAACAGCAGGATGTTAAGGTGATGTTTAACAGCAGGATGTTAAGGTGATGTTTAACAGCAGGATGTTAAGGTGATGTGTAACAGTAGGATGTTAAGGTGATGTGTAACAGTAGGATGTTAAGGTGATGTTTAACAGCAGGATGTTAAGGTGATGTGTAACAGTAGGATGTTAAGGTGATGTGTAACAGTAGGATGTTAAGGTGATGTGTAACAGTAGGATGTTAAGGTGATGTGTAACAGTAGGATGTTAAGGTGATGTGTAACAGTATCCTAACACAGCAACTTCATGATACTGATGTTGATACTATAAATATTCCATTTCTAACACTGTAGTAACACTGTGTTGTCATTATATATATTTCAGTATTTGACCCCTGAGCCTTAAAATACCGAAAATTAACACTACAAGAATAATTATTCTGCCACCAGGATGACTTGTAGTATTGGTACTACAAGTGCCAGACTCTGCTACCAGGATGACTTGTAGTATTGACACTACAAGTGCCAGACTCTGCTACCAGGATGACTTGTAGTATTGACACTACAAGTGCCAGACTCTGCTACCAGGATGACTTGTAGTATTGGCACTACAAGTGCCAGCCTCTGTTACCAGGATGAAGTGTAGTATTGGTACTACAAGTACCAACCAATGGTACCAGGATGAACTGTATTATTGGTACTACCAATACCAGCCTGTGCTACCAGGATGATGTGTAGTATTGGTACTACCTGTACCAGCCTCTGCTACCAGGATGAAGTGTAGTACTGGTACAACAAGTACCAGCCTCAGGTACCAGGATGAAGTGCAGTATTGGTACAACAAGTACCAGCCTTAGGTACCAGGATGAAGTGTAGTATTGGTGCAACAACTACCAGCCTTAGGTACCAGGATGATCTGCACAAAAGAAACAACTAAACATTATAATCTTCTATTAAACTTTCACTGAAAGAAAATTAAAGCCTTTCATGTTCACTATATATATCAAATGTAATACTTGTGGTATTATTATTGTAATACTTGTGGTATTATTGTTGTAATACTTGTGGTATTATTATTGTAATACTTGTGGTATTATTGTTGTAATACTTGTGGTATTATTATTGTAATACTTGTGGTATTATTGTTGTAATACTTGTGGTATTATTATTGTAATACTTGTGGTATTATTATTGTAATACTTGTGGTATTATTGTTGTAATACTTGTGGTATTATTATTGTAATACTTGTGGTATTATTATTGTAATACTTGTGGTATTATTATTGAACATTAAAATGGTATAAAATACCGACAGGTTGTTAGGTAAGACACATATGCAACAGTTAGGTATCTTTATTTCGAAACGTTTCGCCTACACAGTAGGCTTCTTCAATCGAGTACAGAAAAGTTGATAGAAGCAGAAGATACTTGAAGACGATGTAATCAATCCATCACCCTTAAAGTTTTGAGGTGGTCAGTCCCTCAGTCTGGAGAAGAGCATTGTTCCATAGTATGAAACAATATGGAGATGAAGTGACAGGATGGAGCCTTATATAGCGCCAAGAGGTGAGACGTAGGTCACTAGAAGAGGTAAGAACTCAGATGTTGGGAGGTCAGGTCCCTCTCAAATCCAGCCGTTCTCCATATTGTTTCATACTATGGAACAATGCTCTTCTCCAGACTGAGGGACTGACCACCTCAAAACTTTAAGGGTGATGGACTGATTACATCGTCTTCAAGTATCTTCTGCTTCTATCAACTTTTCTGTACTCGATTGAAGAAGCCTACTGTGTAGGCGAAACGTTTCAAAATAAAGATACCTAACTGTTGCATATGTGTCTTACCTAACAACCTGTCAGTATTTTATACCATTTTAATGTTCAATCTGTCAGACACTGCAACACAAGGGTATCTTGGTACAGACCTAAAATCAACTTCGACAACCTCTACTAGTGAGAACGGCTGGATTTGAGAGGGACCTGACCTCCCAACATCTGATTTCTTACCTCTTCTAGTGACCTACGTCTCACCTCTTGGCGCTATATAAGGCTCCATCCTGTCACTTCATCTCCATATTGTTTCATACTATGGAACAATGCTCTTCTCCAGACTGAGGGACTGACCACCTCAAAACTTTAAGGGTGATGGACTGATTACATCGTCTTCAAGTATCTTCTGCTTCTATCAACTTTTCTGTACTCGATTGAAGAAGCCTACTGTGTAGGCGAAACGTTTCGAAATAAAGATACCTAACTGTTGCATATGTGTCTTACGGTACTATTATTGTAATACTTGTGGTATTATTATTGTAATACTTGTGGTATTATTATAATACTTGTATTAATATTACTGTGGCAGCTCATGGCATTGGGGGAAAGTGGCAGCTCATGGCATTGGGGTAAAAGTGTTGTCATGGATCGAGTCATGGCTCACTAATAGGAAGCAGAGAGTATGCTTAAATGGGGTTAAATCCGACTGGGGATCAGTAACAAGTGGCGTACCAGAGGGATCAGTTTTAGGCCCCTTGTTGTTTATAATACATATCAATGACCTTGGGGAGGGTATTACTAGTGATATGAGCAAATTCGCCGATGACACAAAGATAGGTAGGATAATTGGTTCAAACGTAGATGTTAGGGAACTCCAGGAGGATTTAGACAAACTCTATTCTTGGTCAGAAAAGTGGCAGATGCAGGTCATTGTAGATAAATGCAAGGTTCTGAAGCTTGGGAGTGTCCATAACCAAAGCACTTATAAGTTAAATAATGTAGAACTTAGCTGTACAGATTGCAAAAAGGACTTGGGGGTTATGGTAAGCAGCAACCTTAAACCAAGACAGCAATGCCTAAGCGTATGTAATAAGGCAAATAGATTATTGGGATTTATATCAAGAAGTGTAAGCAACAGAAGTCCAGAGGTCATACTGCAGCTTTATACATCATTAGTAAGGCCTCACCTAGATTATGCAGCTCAGTTCTGGTCTCCATATTACAGAATGGATATAAATTTGTTAGAAAACATTCAGCGAAGAATGACTACATTAACCCTTAAATGGTCCAAATGTATATATATACGTTTTTTCAACATATGAAAGTATGTAAAAAATGTAGATCTTCTTTTCTGTTTTACATTTGAAAACATGTTAAAAAAACTTTTATCTACATTTTTTTTTGTTATATTTGAAAATATGTAAAAAAAGTAATAAAGTTGGTAGAATTACGGACAATATGTAAAGTAAAAGGACACAAGTGCAACTAATGTGACATTTTATTGTGGCAACGTTTCACTCTCCTGGAGCTTTATCAAGCTCCTGGAGAGTGAAACGTTGCCACAATAAAATGTCACATTAGTTGCACTTGTGTCCTTTTACTTTACAAAAAAAAAGTAGATCTACTTTTGTAGCACTACGAATTTGAACGTCGATCTGTTTGGACCGTTTAAGGGTTAATACATAGCATTAGAAATCTTCCGTACGAAAAACGATTGAAGACTCTTAAACTACATTCACTTGTAAGACGAAGAAATGAGGGGAGACATGATCGAAGTGTACAAGTGGAAGATGGGTATTAACAAAGGGGATATAAATAGGGTCTTGAGGATATCTCTCCAAGAGAGAACCTGCAATAATGGATTCAAATTGGACAAGTTTAGATTTAGAAAGGATATAGGAAAGTATTGGTTTGGAAATAGGGTAGTTGATGAGTGGAACTGTCTACCTAGTTGGGTTATTGAGGCTAAAACCTTTGGTAGTTTCAAATATAGGTTGGATAAATACACGAGTGAGAGGGGTTGGATTTAAACAGGACTTGCATATATTAGTGGATAGAGTTATCAGACCTTACTTCTTGGGTAGCATTGAAAATTGGGTTGGGCTCTTAGGAACGGATTAATATTGAATGTCGGGGGTCCACTGTATATGGAAGATCCCTTCTCCAGCAGGAAAATTTCAGACAGTCACACTGATCAACACCTTTGTTATTATTGCATTCATAGTGGAGCACTAAACCTGCAACAGCCATACAGCACCTAATCTAAATTATAGTGCCTATCTAAAATCTTCAAAAAATTAATTAACAAACAAGTCTACTCCTATTTAGTATCCCATAACATACTTAACCCTTGTCACTTTGGATTTAGACTGAAAAAAAGTACTAACGATGCAATTATACATATGCCTGAACTAATATACTTGACACTCGATAAAAACGAAATTCCCCTGGGACTTTTCATAGACCTACAAAAAGCATTTGATACAGTTGACCATCGCCTATTGCATCTAAAACTTGAACACTATGGGGTCAGAGGACACTGGAGTTTACCTGGAGAGAGTTCCGGGGGTCAACGCCCCCGCGGCCCGGTCTGTGACCAGGCCTCCTGGTGGATCAGAGCCTGATCAACCAGGCTGTTACTGCTGGCTGCATGCAATCCAACGTACGAGCCACAGCCCGACTGGTCAGGTACCGACTTTAGGTGCTTGTCCAGTGCCTGCTTGAAGACAGCCAGGGGTCTATTGGTAATCCCCCTTACGTATGCTGGGAGGCAGTTGAACAGTCTCGGGCCCCAAACACTTATTGTATTGTCTCTTAATGTGCTAGTGACACCCTTGCTTTTCATTGGGGGGATGTTGCATCGTCTGCCGAGTCTTTTGCTTTCGTTGTGAGTAATTTTCGTGTGCAAGTTCGGTACAAGTCCCTCTAGGATTTTCCAGGTGTATATAATCATGTATCTCTCCCACCTGCGTTCCAGGGAATACAGGTTCAGGAACTTCAAGCGCTCCCAGTAATTGAGATGTTTTATCTCTGTTATGCGTGCCGTGAAGGTTCTCTGTATATTTTCTAGGTCAGCAATTTCACCTGCCTTGAAAGGTGCTGTTAGTGTGCAGCAATATTCCAGCCTAGATAGAACAAGTGACCTGAAGAGTGTCATCATGGGCTTGGCCTCCCTAGTTTTGAAGGTTCTCATAATCCATCCTGTCATTTTTCTAGCAGATGCGATTGATACAATGTTATGGTCCTTGAAGGTAAGATCCTCCGACATGATCACTCCCAGGTCTTTGACGTTAGTTTTTCACTCTATTTTGTAGAAGGAATTTGTTTTGTACTCTGATGATGTTTTAAGTTCCTCATGTTTACCATATCGGAGTAATTGAAATTTCTCATCTCTGAACTTCACATTGTTTTCTGCAGCCCACTGAAAGATTTGGCTGAAGTCTGCCTGGAGCCTTGCGATGTCTGCAATGGAAGACACTGTCATGCAGATTTGGGTGTCATTTGCAAAGGAAGGCATGGTGCTGTGGCTGACATCCTTGTCTATGTCAGATATGAGGATGAGAAACAAGATGGGAGCGAGTACTGTGCCTTGTGGGACAGAGTTTTTCACCGTAGCCGCATAAGACTTTACTCTGTTGACTATTACTCTCTGTGTTCTGTTTGTGAGGAAATTATAGATCCATCTACTAACTTTTCCTATTATTCCTTTAGCATGCATTTTGTGTGCTATTACACCATGGTCACACTTGTCAAAGGCTTTTGCAAAGTCTGTATACAGTGGACCCCCGGTTAACGATATTTTTTCACTCCAGAAGTATGTTCAGGTGCCAGTACTGACCGAATTTGTTCCCATAAGAAATATTGTGAAGTAGATTAGTCCATTTCAGACCCCCAAACATACACGTACAAACGCACTTACATAAATACACTTACATAATTGGTCACGTTATGCGGGGGTCCACTGTATATTACATCTGCATTCTTTTTGTCTTCTAGTGCATCTAGGACCTTGTCGTAGTGATCCAGTAGCTGAGACAGACAGGAGCGACCTGCTCTAAACCCATGTTGCCTTGGGTTGTGTAACTGATGGGTATCTAGATGGGTGGTGATCTTGCTTCTTAGAACCCTTTCAAAGATTTTTATGACA